TCACATTGAATTATAAGTAAAATTAGTCTGAACCTTGGAATATTTTCAAAGATGAATTGTTGTCTTTTACAGAATTACAGAAGAACTTAAATTCTTGAAGTTTCAAGATTTTAATCGTCAGCCCCACAGAGCTTGGACAGATAGGATAGAAATATCACCTAAAAGGTTTTGGTTGTGTTCAATAAAAAGTAGAGGTGTGTGGGACTATGCTACTTTAAACATAACTATTACTTATAGGATATGTTAAAATAGGTCACGTGACATTCACGATTTACACAGGTACCAGCTTTAGGCGTTTATCTGAACGATAATGTAGAAGATATCGTCGTTTTCTAGTTTGAAACGTTAGTTCTGATAATTGAAAAAAATCAATTAATTCGAGGTCACTTGACATTACATTCACAGCCCAGTTACATTTGATATAACGCATTTTAATATTTGATATAATCTCATGTCCGATCCTTGTAATCTGTGGCCAACCATTAAATATGTTATAACGCACACAAATAAGCACGTGATCTGCGCGGGTGTTCTACATACCTTAAATTCCACAGGACACTTTGGGCCATTTCATAGTTTACGCAGAACCAAGTCTATATATTAAACAAGTTTAAATGTACGGTGATCGGCTTTTATATCAACACAATAAAGACGACATTAATCAATTAAAGTTTTTTAAAGTACAAGTTAACAATCATACAAGGAGAAGCTGTTAATTGACAGCTCTTCTCGTTGTTACCAAGTTTACGTGTATCCATGCTGTTTAACACCTTTGTAGAAATCAAAAATTTAAAACAAAAGTCTTCTTCCTTGTATTGATAAATACGACGACGATTGTATTAAATTAAAACTCTTTTTTAGAATTCGGGAAACCAAGTGAACAACGAAACAGGATGATATTGTAAACTGAAGCTACATAATAGACTGGAGGAGAGATATTTTGAATGGTGACAGAATTAGTTAATCTCATTCTCTACTCAGCAGAAACATCATTTGAAAGCCCCAAACTCTGATTTTACAATCCCTATATCTTTGGAACCCAATGTCGTACTCGTAGGCCTTAGATATTTCAAACATTGACTTCTGATAGATCGAATAGTCTTAGTTTGAATTATCAAAGATTTACACCATCAGTTTACAAAGAATTATAAAATTTGAGTTTGTGGCAAAGACTCAATTCCTTTAAAGTTTCGGCTAATGACAGATAAAATCCGAACTAAAAAGTCCTCAATGCTTAAAGTCATGATATGTACATAGAAAATGTTTAAACTGAGTTGAATCGGCGTGCCTGGACCTTTTTATGTATATAGTTGGTATTCTAAAGAGACATGTTCTATATTGATGATGTGTTCTTCAAGTGTTTATCTTACAAAGTATCAGACCAGACACAAATATATGAATTTAGTAATTTATGTAGTTCGTAGAGCCTAAAAATAGTCCTAAGAAAATCAATTAATATCAACACTTATTAAGTTCAATATTTAGGTTTTTAATTTCAAAAATCAAATTTTTAATTACAAATACGCATTGTTAATAAGTATTTTTGTATTCCATGTAAATTGTAACATGTCTAAATATAGTGTGTATCCAATGTAATACTAGAACAAATAATGTTTTTTTTTTTTTTGCTATAATCCAAAAACAAATATTAAACTGTTCTATAAGGTGGCTTCTCTAAAACAAATAAAAAAATATGATTTGAGCTTTTTGAAATTGTTTAAAGGAACCTAAGTTTTGAATTAAATTCCAGAAAAGATAAAGAAAAAAATCAAATGTCATTATTTACAGAAATATTAAACCTGTTATTATGAAGGGGAGTGGGAGGGGAGTTGTGAAGGGAAGGGGGGTGGGTGGAGTAAGGGGTTAAAGTATGAAGTGAAAAAAGAACGTATAGTAGCTACAGTATAAGTAGTATAAACTACTATTTAAACAATGCCATATTCATTTTTACTGCACTATTGTAATCAAAAAGGGGTACATATAATAAACACTATTCACAAAAAATATTTAAATTTTCGATGGAAAGGAAAAATTATGTTCGTTTGTAATTTATTATGTATAATAATACAAAGCTTCATAAGCTGTTTTCCAGAGTGAGCCAACTTTGGGTGTCGGCTATATACAACTTGCAATAATTATTGTATTTGATATTATTGAAAATATATGGATGTATTGTATAGGGGAAAAAATGTATTACACATTATTGATTATTTTTCAGGTAGTAGGTATAGTAGAGTAGTAGGTATTAGGTAGTAGGTATAGTAGGTAGTAGGTAGTAGGTATAGTAGTAGGTATTAGGTAGTAGATATAGTAGTAGGTATTAGGTAGTAGGTATTAGGTAATAAGTATAGCAGTAGGTATTAGTTAGTAGGGTAGTAGGTATAGTGGGTAGTATTTTCCTGTTTATCCTACTGATCTATAACCCTAGGTATAGTAGGTAGTAGGTAGTATTTTCCTGTTTATCCTACTGATCTATAACCCTAGGTATAGTAGGTAGTAGGTAGCATTTTCATGTTTATCCTACTGATCTATAACCCTAGGTACAGTAGTAGGTATAGTAGGTAGTAGGTAGTATTTTCCTGTTTATCCTACTGATCTATAACATCTATAACCCTAGGTATAGTAGGTAGTAGGTAGCATTTTTCTGTTTATCCTACTGATCTATAACCCTAATTCCTACTGCAATTGTTCCCTAAGCACAGGTTAGTAGTCTAATAATTATCACGACCTAGCTGCGGGGAACTCGTGTCTACTCTCCCCTATACCCGGAGAGTATTCAACCCTTGTACTACTCCTTGGTACTACTATACTCTATACCAGGAGAATATCCAACCATACTTCCTAGAGATCCAGGGGAAGATGCTTTCACACTTTCTAATTCACATTTAAATAAATTTTCTCAGATGGTTGTTGAAGAATTGAGATACAATCCGGATGGGGGGAGGTGGGGAAGTGAGGTCGAGACTTAACCCCCCCCCCCCCCTATTAATTTTTCTCCGCACCTGAATTTTTCTACTCTCCGCCTGTGCATCGTTTGAAGAACATAAACCTGGTCGATAATCACTGGTTTCCTGGGTTTTACTGCTTTCATACAATGACACGAGTGACACTAGGTATCAATAATACAGGACTAGGAGCTAATCTTCTAGCTTACATGGAGAACTATAAACGTCGGGGGGGGGGGGGGGGGGGAATAATAGCAAGTGAAGAGGAGATAACATTTCACTATATTTAAACCGTCTCTTAAATTCAATCTTTACCCGAAACCTCTCTAAATATGTCTTCTTTACTAAACCTGAACTCTACTCCACCAAACCTTCTTCTTTATTTTGATAAACCCTACTCCACCCAAACTTCTCCTTTACTTAACCTAATCCAACCCTACTCCGCCCAACCTTCTCCTTAATTTTGCTAAACCCATCTCAATTCAACCTCCTCCTTTACTTAACCTAATCCAACCATACTCCGCCCAATCTTCTCCTTTACTTAACCTAATCCAACCATACTCCCCCAATCTTTTTTATTCAACTTAAAACTTACTCCGCCCAACCTTCTCCTTTACTAAATCTAAACCCTACTCCACCCAATCTTCTCCTTTATTAATCTCCAACCCTACTCCACCCAACATTCTCCTTTACTAAATCTAAACCCTACTTCACCCTACCTTTTTTACTAAATCTAAACCCTACTCCACTCAACCTTCTCCTTTATTGATCTCCAACTCTACTCCGCCCAACTTTCTCCTTTGTTAAACTTAAACCCTACTATACTTTATTAATCCTGAACTCTACTCCTCTCAACCTCCTTTATTTTTTGACCTAAACCCTACTCCACCAAACCTCTATTTACATAGCCTAACCTTCTACTCCACTCAGCCTTTTCTTTTATTAGACACTAGCTGAAGTACCCGACGTTGCCCGTGCTATTTTCTAAATCGAATTTGAAAACAAAAAATTCGAATTTTTAAAACAAAAATTTAGATTTTTGAAAATAAAATCGAGTTATGAGAGAGAAAAGTATAGATTTTTTTTAAATCGAATTTTTATAGCCTATGTTACATCGGGTTACTCAAAGTTTCCCTCAAAAAATGTCAGTCCATTCGGTTCAGTAGTTTGGCCAGCTATAGCTGACATATAAATATCTTTACATAAATACAAATATATATATATTAGCGATGCGCTTTATTATATAGATTAACCCTACGCCACCCAACCTTCTCCCTTCCTAAACCTAAACCCTACTCCACCCAACCTTCTCTCTTCCTAAACCTAATCCCTACGCCACCCAACCTTCTCCCTTCATAAACCTAATCCCTACGCTACCCAACCTTCTCCCTTCCTAAACCTAACCCATACGCCACCCAACCTTCTCCCTTCCTAAACCTAACCCCTACTGCACCCAACCTGTTACCTCCCTAAACTTAACCCCTACGCCACCCAACCTTCTCCCTTCCTAAATCTAACCCCTACTCCAGCCAACCTTCTCCCTTCCTAAACATAACCCCTACTCCAACCCAACCTTCTCCTTTCCTAAACCTAACCCCCTACTCCACCCAACCTTATATTTACTAAATCTAACCCCAACTCCACCCAACCTTCTCCCATCCTAAACCTAACCCCTACTCCACCCAACCTTTTACCTTCCTAAACTTAATCCCTACGCCACCCAACCTTCTCCCTTCCTAAACCTAACCCCTACTCCACCCAACCTTTTACCTTCCTAAACTTAATCCCTACGCCACCCAACCTTCTCCCTTCCTAAACCTAACCATTACGCCACCCAACCTTCTCCCTTCCTAAACCTAACCCCTACTCCACCCAACCTTCTCCCTTCCTGAACCTAACCCCCTACTCCACCCAACCTTATATTTACTAAATCTAACCCCTACTCCACCCAACCTTCTCCCTTCCTAAACCTACCCCCCCTACTCCACCCAACCTTATATTTACTAAATCTAAACTCCATTCTACCCTATTCTTTAAACATTAAACTTTTAAAAATACTATTAACAATATATATTTGGATCGAACAAGTAGAATTGCTTAAAACTGCAATCTATAATTTATGTTTAGAAAAAGGGAGCAAGGCATGTACAAAATATACTAAATGTCGTCTTCACCTCTTGTCTGATTAACAAGTTATAAAACTAAATATATTTATATATATTCTTTAAATAATATTGACTAGGGATTGCTTAGTTGTGAATGACTATGGACTACTGGGTACATCATTCCCAAAGTTAAGTATTGCAAAAAAATATCTAGACTGTATAGAAGACGACCTGTGCGGCCATTTTGAAATTGGTTTAGAATAAGGATATAGATAATATCACGTGTCTGTGTAATAAGTCTTGAATTTTATGCATTTACTAACTTTGCAATAAATATCATTATAAATTGAGAAATTAAGCATTTTTCTGATAATTTCCGATTTTTTAGTGATAAATTTCTCTAAAATTCATAGATTAAAAACAGAATTTCTGCAAAATGAAAGTTTTAAAACTCAGAAATTGTCTTAATTATCATTTCATAGATTTATATAAATTATTTTATATAATATTATTTACAGCTGTACACTTTAGAATAAAATTATCCGATCAGAATGTTCTAGGATTGAGCGGTTAAGCATCTTTATGTACACATTTGTTTACATATGTACAATGTCTGTACAGGCTATGTAAAACAAATGTATTGCACCCAAACAAGTTAGGAAACTATCGTTGTCGTTGTCATGGGAATTTTTACTACTTTATCAGTATTCGTCTTCTTAGTTTCGAATTGTGCTTTAGTTTTCGTAGATTTTCTCAGATGTGAGTCAGCTGTTTACCATCCACCATTTTCTTTTCAACTGTACATTTATGTGAACAAATGTTTGAAAATCACCTTTCCAACTAAATCACTGTTTTTGAATGCGTTCACATCGTTATAACTACTTCGTTAATTATAGTTTCAGATATGGCTTTGAAATCTCTTAAAGCTGATTTTTAAAAATCAGTTTAAGATAATGTGTTTTTTTGAATCTGTGGCACTTCCAGAAAAGTCAGTTTATGTAATTTTAAACTGTTTAAATGTTTTAGATTTCACTTAGCAAAATCGGATTGATTTTGAAGAGGAAAAAGTTATAAAATAAACCATTACAGGTAATGTTACTGCTAATAAAACTGTTTATGACGAATGTGGATGTAAATTAAGAAAAAGCTGAGTTCATGCAGATTGCGAGTTGACTAGCTATTGATTCAAGTTAAGAACAGTTTTTGAAGATATTGCTAATTTGGAAGCAGCTCATTAGCTGACATAGAAACAGCAGAACCAAAAACAGATCCTTATACAAAATAGGTGTGCCGATTCAATAACTTAAATTCACAAGTTCCAGATTGAACGGCTATCTTCTAAGATCCAGCCGATGTAGGAATGATATTTTCTCAAAGAATGGATGCCTAAAATAATATATTTTAAAAAAAGAAGTAAATACAGATTTTAGGTTTTACCTTAACACTTCGTCTAACACAATTCTTTCACTGGGATCGTACACAAGCATTGCCTGAAACAATAAAAAATGTATTGCACAGTCGACGTCGTATATATCAATACTATGAAAACGACTTTCGATTTCATTTTTTTTCTACCAAGCTTTCAAACAGCATGAATGTTCTACCAGCTTTCAAACAGCATGAATGCTGAATAATGAATACACATAAATATGGAAACAATTTTACAGCTTTCTTTCTTTACTGACAAACTTGTTATTTGAAAAAAGCTTGTTAGGATGGATGGGATTGATGGGATTGATGGAATGGATGGGATGGATGGGATGGATGGTTTTAGTCTATGGATAAATGTTCTATCTGTCTAGTCTATGGATAAATGTTCCATCTGTCTAGTCTATGAATAAATGTTCTATCTGTCTAGTCTATGAATAAATGTTCTATGTGTCTAGTCTATGGATAAATGTTCCATCTGTCTAGTCTATGGATAAATGTTCTATCTGTCTAGTCTATGGATAAATGTTCCATCTGTCTAGTCTATGAATAAATGTTCTATCTGTCTAGTCTATAGATAAATGTTCTATTTGTCTAGTCTATGGATAAATGTTCTATCTGTCTACTCTATGGATAAATGTCCAATCTGTCTAATTTGTAAAAAAGTATGACCAACCTTGATATGTTTGCAGTTTTCTCTAACATATTTGCCAGCAGATGAACCGTCCTCCCAGATTAGTTTTCCATTGTTAAAATATTTAGTTTTAGTTCTCCGAGTCATTCTAAACAATTAAGCAGGGTTAAAGGGACTCAGCACAACGTGGATTTAAGCGACCATTTAATCAAAGTGTGCCACAGTGCCCTTTGAACCCTTTAAAGAAACAAAGTCTTGATTAAATTAGATTAATCTCAACCCAGGACACTTTGTTAGAAAATTAGATTAATCTCCACCCAGGACACTTTGTTAGAAAATTAGATTAATCTCCACCCAGGACACTTTGTTAGAAAATTAGATTAATCTCCACCCAGGACACTTTGTTAGAAAATTAGATTAATCTCCACCCAGGACACTTTGTTAGAAAATTAGATTAATCTCCACCCAGGACACTTTGTTAGAAAATTAGATTAATCTCCACCCAGGACACTTTGTTAGAAAATTAGATTAATCTCCACCCAGGACACTTTGTTAGAAAATTAGATTAATCTCAACCCAGGACACACAGTTAGAAAAGCCATGCCCAATGCCCATTCCCTATTGCTCACAGCTTGCGCTAGAAATTAGAATAATTTTAAATGGTATATAAATGTCTTTTTCTTTTTTAAAGAACCCTACCCTACTTAAAAAGGGCAAGAATTAAACCTATCCTGCTGAGAAGGGACCAAGAATTAAACCTATCCTGCTGGGAAGGGACCAAGAATTAAACCTATCCTGCTGAGAAGGGACCAAGAATTAAACCTATCCTGCTGGGAAGGGACCAAGAATTAAACCTACCCTGCTGAGAAGGGTCCAAGAATTAAACCTATCCTGCTGGGAAGGGTTCAAGAATTAAACCTATCCTGCTGGGAAGAGACCAAGAATTAAACCTACCCTGCTTGGAAAGGACCAAGAATTAAACCTATCCTGCTGGGAAGAGTCCAAGAATTAAACCTATCCTGCTGGGAAGGGACCAAGAATTAAACCTACCCTGCTGGGAAGGGTCCAAGAATTAAACCTACCCTGCTGGGAAGAGTCCAAGAATTAAACCTACCCTGGTGGGAAAGGACCAAGAATTAAACCTATCCTGCTGGGAAGGGACCAAGAATTAAACTTACCCTGCTGGGAAGGGACCAAGATTTGAACCTACCCTGCTTGGAAGTGGGCCAAGAATTGAACCTATCCTGCTGGGAAGGGAATTGAACCTATCCTGCTGGGAAGGGAGCAAGGATTAAACCTACCCTGGTGGGAAGGGACCAAGAATTTAACCTATCCTGCTGGGAAGGGACCAAGAATTAAACCTACCCTGCTGGGAAGGGACCAAGGATTAAACCTACCCTACTGGGAAGGGTCCAAGAATTAAACCTACCCTTCTGGGAAGGGACCAAGGACTAAACCTATCCTGCTGGGAAGGGACCAAGAATTATACCTACCCTGCTTGGAAGGGACTAAGAATTAAACCTACCCTGCTGGGAAGAGACCAAGATTTAAACCTATCCTGCTGGGAAGGGACCAAGGATCAAACCTACCCTGCTGGGAAGGGTCCAAGAATTAAACCTACCCTGCTGGGAAGGGACCAAGGATTAAACCTATCCTGCTGGGAAGGGACCAAGAATTAAACCTACCCTGCTTGGAAGGGACTAAGAATTAAACCTACCCTGCTGGGAAGAGACCAAGAATTAAACCTACCCTGCTGGGAAGGGACCAAGGATTAAACCTATCCTGCTGGGAAGGGACCAAGAATTAAACCTACCCTGCTAGGGAGGGACCAAGAATTAAACCTACCCTGCTGGGAGGGGGCCAAGAATTTTCTCCATCATTGCCAAGTGTTCTCTGTTATCATGAGTTTGGAACAATGTGAACCCAAGATACAGCTCAAACATTATACAACCTAATAAAGAATAGATTTGAGGACAATTAAACTTTCATTTGAACAGTATGTGACACCGAAATTAAAAATGAATGTCACGGAAAATAAAGATATCTTTTGAGGAAAATAAACCTTTTTACTAACCTATACTCCATACATCACAGGGTTGAGACCAACCTAACTCCAGGATAACCTCTGGAGCTCTGTAGTGTCGAGTAGATACAACCTGGAGCAGGGTTCGGTTAGATATATAGAATAGGTTGGAGTTAGGATAGGAATAGGATAAATATGTAAACATCTATAATTAATGTATTTGGCTTGTCCGTTCATTTTTTTTTGTATCCAATAAACGTCAGAACGGCTGAACCGATCAGGCCCAATTTTTTTTCTGGCAAATTCATGATTCCAGGGAAGGTTTGTGACTGGTCGAAATTGAAATATTTGCCTGAAAAGATGTGGAGGGAGGATGGAGATGTAATGGATAATATTAGATCAAGAAGGGTGTATTTATAAAGGATAGGATGGAAATATCTAAAATGTCATGAAAATCCTCGACAACAAAAATCGTCTCTATGAAGGATTTAAATCCAACCTTGCTATGATGTTCCCAGTCGAATGTAGCTGATCCAAAATCAATCAGTCGAACTTCAGTATTCTTCACTTTTCTCACATCCTTTCTCTGAACAGGGAGAATAGTTTTATCCCCATTTCGAAATATTATTTGATTTGATTTTAAAGGGACTGTAAACGTAATTTCAAGTGACCCTCCATTGATAGAGTGGCATGTCTTGTTCACAACGGTACCCTTGAATTTTTTTTCTGATCAAGTATGATTTACGTTTTTTATGTGAAATCTGTTTATTTTTAATTATGACGACAATTCTTGGTAATTTCCTAGTATACGATTTTTGGACCCCCCCCCAGGCCCCCTCCTCACCTGAAAACAACTAACAATTCGTCTACGTCTCAAATACATTTTTTTAGTTAGGAAACTACAGTTAAACCCTAAATAAGCCATATATCAAAAGAATTTATCAAATATCGTCTTGACAATTTTTCAATGGGTTTTATACTATTTTACATAAATCTCAGTTTTTGCAACAAAAAAAAATTGCCATGAATATGCGGGAACAGTTTTAAAGATCTCCATATAATCATTTTATTAAAAACTTAATATCTGTAACATTCAATTATCAGAGAGTAAAGAATACGACATTTGATGAATTCTATCGATGTATGGCTTATTTAGGGTTTAACTGTATAAAATCAACAATCCCTTCAACCCCCCCCCCCCCCCCCCCCCCCCCAAAAAAAAAAAAAAAAGGGGGGGGGGGGGGGGGGGGAGTTATTAGATAAAAAATGTTGTTACCTTTCGAGCATTATATGATATCTCCCAGTCTGAAGTACAGAAAAGAATATTCTCCGGCTAAAATAAATAATTTGTCGTTTTCAAAAAAATTTCTAGAAAGTCAGAATTCATAAGAAAATTTTTTTAAAAGAAAGCATTGAATTTAATCTCTCAGTTTTGTTTTTTAAACATAAAGTAACAAAGAACAATGTTAAAATGATGAAATCTTTCTTTGTTATTTCGACAAAGAAAATTCAATCATGTTTTATACTTACCCATCCTATACTAAAGCATGAAAAGACAAAAAATATATTTCATAGTTTTAATTTTTTTTATTTAAATAAAATATATACCTTGAGATCTGTATGAGTAAGCCTGCACTCATGCATGAATTTAACTAAACAAGTAATAACATTTCAACTCGGAGAAAACTATTATAAAAAAGACTGTAGACTTAATTTCAAGTGTTTTTTTTATTAAAAGAGTGGAATGTCTGATTCACACAATGGTATCATCATCAAGTAAAAATTAGATATGAAGATGTTTCTCCTTTAAAAACTGATTGTTTTTATTTGTGATTTTATTGCTGTCGCATTTCTACTGCAGAAAAAATTAGGATATTAACTAGAATTAAACATTTAATTTTTCAACGTGGAAAACAGACAAAATTTTCCATATTTTTATCATATGCATTTTTTAAGGATATCGTTTTGCATTGGACAGATATGAAAAATCGGATTAGTTTGTAATCCCCTTCACAGAAAACCTTGCACCCCTCAGTTTATATTCGTTTACTTTGCTATTTTACTCCCCCCCCCCCATCAACTTCACCAAGAGAGCAATTATTTGCAAAGTCCAGTCTAACATAATTTCATATTTCTTAACTTTTCTTTTTCATTATACCATCCGATTTCTTTTTTGTCAATCATATTGGCAAAGGAACGGAGTTTTCGACACACATTCAAATTTTCAAAATCCCTAAATCTTCGTAATCCAATGTCGTGGACCTTAGATATTTCAAACTATGAATTATGCTAATTCAAATAATCTAAGTTTGGAATATCAAAGATTTACACCTTAAGGTTGCAAAAGTATAGGGATTAGAAAATTTGAGTTTGTGGCAAAGACTTAATTTAGGAAAGACATTTTCAAAGTACCCATCTCTGATTATATTACCTGAATGGCACAGTTGGTAAATAATGTGACGAACTTGCTCTAAAGGATAGGGATGGTAACTGTTCTCTTTCTAAATTATTAAAACAACATTGATATTTACATATTTAAAAATATCTAATTTTTTCTCCTAAATTTACCAGAAAATCGAAAACTGAAAGTCCCAGTAGTTCGAATAGAAGACACATGTGCCCCCAGTAGTTAAACCAGCTCAGCATCTTAGCACACAAACTAAATAATATGTCAATCAAATTGGGTTAACAGAAAATAGAATTAAATAATTATTGACGAGAAGAGAAGGGCTCAAAGATGTTGAAAGGACAAGAATTTCCCGGATTTTCGGTTTTGGTCGTCTTCAAATTTAGTTATATCTCTTTTAAAAATTACGGGAAGACATTTTTCATGAGTCCTAATAAAGGAAACATTAAACCACGCATCAATGATGATAATATCATTTTTCTTATTAAAAATATAATAACATGCCAGAAAAAAAACACACAAAAACTAAATAAAAGAGTCTAAAAAAGTCTAGTTCCGAAGATTTGTTATCAGTTTTATTATTCAGACTGAACTTGAATAAAGTTGTTTATTTTATTCAAAACTATTAATCTAGTTTCAAGAATTAGCGCTACTTTTAACATTTATAATCCACAATGTTTCTGTCCGTATCGGCACTTTTGCACAGTTTTTGCAAACATTATTCACGCGTACGTGCAAATAAACTAGTTCGAGCCTGCAGGGGGATTTAACTTGGGGGAAACTTACTGTTTTCCTTGGGGATCTTTTTCTTGTAGTTTCTCCAGTACATTCACCTTAACAATTTTTTTTTGGTTTGGCTACATTTTAACAAAAATATTTATCTGTGACTCAAGACATCCATTTTGCCAAAATATCCATTTTTTAAACATGTTTATTTTCTCAAAAGTTCATTTGTAATAAATAATTTTTTACAAGAAGTGCATTTGCCAATAATAATTTTGCCCAGGCAATTATTAATTGCCAAAAACTTTATTATTCATTTACCAACTTGTTCAGTGTTTATTTGTAAATTTTTAATTAAAAGAAAAAATTTCCTTCAAAATTATGCTGGATATGGAATAAAAAGTAAGTATCTACATACTTGTTTTAAAATTCAAAACATTGATAGATTTTATTGTTTAAAATAAAGCCAAATCTACCTCTAGTTTAGCTGCTTCTCTGTATTTATCCACATTTTTGATAATTTTCAAAGCCATCACTTTATCCCTAAACAAGGAACAAATAAGGGGATTGTTCATGAAAATGAAGGGGGGGGGGGTGAATCAACCATCATCAAATCGGTCTCTTTTTTGTTTGTTTTTTTCCAATAATTTTGTAAAACTAATTTTATAAAACATTTTCCCAACACACCCATAAATGCAATTGAAAATCAGACTTCTTCATAATTTTCGGTAAATACTTTTTATAAACTAAATACTTTTTATAAACTAAATACTTTTTATAAACTAAATACTTTTTATAAACTAAATACTTTTTATAAACTAAATACTTTTTATAAACTAAATACTTTTTATAAACTAAATACTTTTTATAAACTAAATACTTTTTATAAACTAAATACTTTTTATAAACTAAAATGCAAAACTTACGTGTTTAACTCCTTAACCTTCACAACCTTCCCAAACGTTCCTTCTCCAAGAGTTGCCAAGATTTTATCTAAAAATCAAAATTTATTTTCAAAATCTGAAAAAGTTTTCCAAAATAAAGTTATTGTGTTTTTAAACTTTCCCTTCTATGGGTCATACGTACAACGCTTGCACTGCACAGGGGTGCAGTACATTGTACATTGAACAGTATTGAGTTATTACTGCACTGGGGTGCAGTACATTGTACTGCACAGGGGTGCAGTACATTGTACTGAACAGGGGTGCAGTACATTGTACAGTGAACAGTATTGAGTTTGTACTACACAGGGGTGCAGTACATTGTACAGTGAACAGTATTGAGTTTGTACTACACAGGGGTGCAGTACATTGTACAGTGAACAGTATTGAGTTTGTACTACACAGGGGTGCAGTAAATTGTACAGTGAACAGTATTGAGTTTGAACTGCACAGGGGTGCAGTACATTGTACAGTGAAAAGTATTGAGTTTGTTCTGCACAAGGGTGCAGTACATTGTACATTGTACAGTGAAAAGTATTGAGTTTGTACTGCACAGGGGTGCAGTACATTGTACAGTGAACATTATTGAGTTTGTACTGCACAGGTGTGCAGTACATTTTACAGTAAACAGTATTGAGTTTGTACTGCACAGGGGTGCATACATTTTACGTTCAACAGTATTGAGTTTGTATTGCACAGGGGTGCAGTACATTTTACAGTGAACAGTATTGAGTTTTTACTGCACAGGGGTGCAGTACTTTTTACAGTCAACAGTATTGAGTTTTTACTGCACAGGGGTGCAGTTCATTTTACAGTCAACAGTATTGAGTTTGTACTGCACAGGGGTGCAGTACATTTTACAGTAAACAGTATTGAGTTTGTACTGCACATACTTGATCAGTCAAACTTTTAAGAGTACCGTTGTAAATGTGGCATTGTTATCTTTAACTAGAGGGCTACTTAAAATTAGGCTCACAGTCCCTTTAATTAAAAAAACAAAACAAAGTAAAGACTTTAAATACTATTTTATTTCCTAAAATATTTTTGATTCGGTTAATTTCTTAAAGGAAAAAGTTTTTACTTACATCGCTGATTATCATTTTCTATTATGTCCCCGAGCTTGTAGGATAGATGACCATCCTCATCATCTTGGATAGGACAAACCTACAATAGGACAAGGATTAGAGAGGACAAACCTACAATAGGACAAGGATTAGAGAGGACAAACCTACAATAGGACAAGGATTAGATAGGACAAACCTACAATAGGACAAGGAATAGAGAGGACAAATCTACAATATAACAATGATTAGAGAGGACAAACCTACAATATAACAAGGATTAGAGAGGACAAACCTACAAAAGGACAAGGATTAGAGAGGACAAATCTACAATAGGACAAGGATTAGAGAGGACAAATCTACAATATAACAAGGATTAGAGAGGACAAACCTACAATAGGACAAGGATTAGAGAGGACAAATCTACAATATAACAACGATTAGATAGGAAAACTTACAATAGACAAGGATTTGAGAGGAAAAACCTACAACAGGAAATAGGACGAGGATTGGTTAGGACAAACTTACAAAAGAACAAGAATCATATAGAACAAACTCTCTTTAGGACATGATATAGAGAGGACAAAACTACAATAGAACAAGGATTATAGAGGACAAATCTAGAATAGGATAATGGTAAGGAATGAAAAACCCACAATAGGACCAGAATTAAAGAGGACAACCCTACAATAGAAAAAAGATTAGAAGAGACAACCCTACGGTAGGACAATAATTAGATAGAATACACAAGAATTAGAGAGGACAACCCACAAATAGGCCAAGGATAAGAGAGAATAAATCTTCAATTATAGAAGGATTACAGTGGACACACTTAAATAGGACAAGGATTTGAAAGGAAAATCCTATTTTACGACAAGGATTAGAGAGGACATCCGTACAAAAGGACAAGGATTAGAGAGACCACATTTAATATAATTTGACATGAATTAGAGAGGGCACACTTACAATAGGACAAGGATTCGAGAGGACAAAAATATAATTTTATTGGGATTAGAGAGGACACTCTAACAATAGGACAAGGATTAGAGAGGGAAAAAAAGGACAAGGATTACAGAGGACAAACTGCATTTCATAAACTAAAATTTACATATTTAAAAAAATAAAACAGTGTTCGGCGTTTATATAAATACAATGAAGACGACTTTTAGATTGAAGTTTTGCTTTTTAAAGAGCTTCGTTCAAATAACAAGTTTACAATTGAACAAAACATATTGTTTCCGGTCATGTTTATGTGTATCCTGTTTGAAAGATTGGTGGACATCAAAATTAAAATGAAAAGTCGTCTTCATTGTACATCAAAAAGAAAAAGTAGTTAAAGTTTAAACCTTAGGTTGAGGAGGAGCCCATGGTTGAGCTTGAGGTTGAAGACGTTGAGGAATATAATCAGGTTCCTGAACTCCTCCAGCTCCTGTTCCAGCTCCAGCTCCGAATGGAGCACACCACCAACTAGAGGAACCTCCAACACTTGATCTAGAAAACAGGGAATATATCAAACCTTCGGAGAAAACACAAGACAATTGTTTTCAAAAACAGTTTCTTTCTTGAACGAAAAAGTTTTACACATTTTTATCGACAATCTCAAAACGTCGGAGGATCTAGAATAAAACACATCTTTTTAAAATAAAATAGATCAAGTCTTAGAAAATAATTAGATTCTCCTCTATATTTATGATCAAAAAAAGATTTTCTGAATGTTTTTAGAACTATCCTGAAGTATTACCACCTTCTATTAAAAGATAAAAAACCCTTATTTCCGTGACTTAATTCTGTAGAAACAAATCGACTTTTTTGCATTTCGACTTAATTCTTCGTTTATCTAAGCATATACCAAATATTTAAAAAGAAAAACTAATCCTTCATGTTGTTAATTACGAAGATATTTCCTCGTAATCTGTACAGTGTTATACACAACTTGAAGAATTCAAGGAATAAATTGAATAACCTTGAGTTAGAGTTGTATATGAAAGAAACCTTAACATTTCCTCAAACAATTCCCGGGCTTTTGTTCTTCCAGATTTTTCTGTCGTTATATATCCGGCCCTACAGGAGATACAGGCAATATCGGGTACTGTATCCTTGAATTCTTTTATCCTTTTATCCTTGTATCCTTGGTTCCTTGTATCCTTGTATCCTTGTATCCTTGTATCCTTGAATTCTTGTATCCCTGTATCCTTGTATCCTTGTATCCTTGAATTCTTGTATCCTCGTATCCTTGTATCCTTGTATCCTTGTATCCTTGTATCCTTGTATCCTTGTATCCTTGCATCCTTGTATCCTTGTATCCTTGTATCCTTGTATCCTTGTATCCTTGTATCCTTGGTTCCTTGTATCCTTGTATCCTTGTATCCTTGTATCCTTGAATTCTTGTATCCTTGTATCCTTGTATCCATGTATCCTTGCATCCTTGCATCCTTGTATCCTTGTATCCTTGTATCCTTGTATCCTTGTATCCTTGTATCCTTGCATCCTTGAATTCTTTTATCCTTGTATCCTTGTATCCTTGTATCCTTGTATCCTTGTATCCTTGTATACTTGTATCCTTGTATCCTTGTATCCTTGTATCCTTGTATCATTGTATCATTGTATCCTTGTATCCTTGTATCATTGTATCCTTGTATCCTTGTATCCTTGTATCCTTGTTCCCTTGTATCATTAAATTTCTACCGCGCCTAGAAACCTAGTTATCTTGTTTTTTTTTATCAATATATCTTTGCAATTTTGTATCCTTTCCCTTGCATTTAGGTTATGTAATCTTTTCTTGACTGAAGATTTGAATGTATTGCATAATACACTAGTTTATGTAAGATATTTACATATTTATCCTTGCAAAACATCATCCTTGTAATTCTATCTAACTCCAATATCAATATTATCCAATGTACATGATCTGTAGAAATTAATTTATTTGGTTGAGAATACATTTGTCAAGTATCATGTGATATTAGATTTTTTTAATTTTTATTTTGCGTTTTTAATAGATTCTATCTGATGTCTCAAGAAATTAATATATACAATTGTGTCAAAATTATACGAAAATTCATATATATACAAGTTTGTATAAAAGTAGTAGGTTTAAACAGATCACATTCAGCAAATACGCAACCAATCTGAAAACGACGATATCCCAGCCTGAGAATCTCAGGTTTGCTCCTAGATATAATTGATAATATTATTACATAAATTCATATAGTCCGTATTACGTCACCAGAACTTCAGCCAATGGCAGTGCAGTATACTGGTCACGTGATTTCTGTCTGTATCACTTGAAAACGATACTGCACTGCCATTGGTTGAAGTTCTGGTGACGTAATACAGACTATACGGACGATATGAAATAGTATTATAGTATTATATATGAATCGTTCAACGCCTGAGATTCTCAGGTTTCATCCTATACCCCCTTTCATTTTCCTTTACAGTTCCTTTAATAAGACTGAATTAATTCCACGTGACCTTGGTCAAAACAGTTTTTTTTTCTCGACTTTTTGTATCTTCTAGTACCTGTAATCTGTATTCTATATATGAAACTAAACAAGATGCAACATTTTGAAAGGTTTGCAGCCCGGAACATTCTCTACCGTGAAACTATTCAAAATATTACAAGAAAGTATTTTTAAATTTTAACTTGTCTGGTCAAGTTATGAGATTAAATGGAAATGCATATTTAACAAAACTGAAGTTAAATTGTTTCAAAAGTTTCCATGCTTACAGGTTTTCAGTCAAATGTGGAGTTTATCTTCATAAAGATATTATTAAAACATTTGTGAACAACGGTTTGAACTAGCCGGCCCAACCTTTTTAAAGGTGAAATCTTGTCTTAGGTCGGAAAACCTGTAGCTCGGAAAACCTGTAGCTAGGAAACCCCTTTGGTTGAAAAATACCTAGCTCTGTTTCTCTATAGCTATGATAAGCAACACCAATGTTGGCTGAATCAAAACTATCAATACTATGATTACGATTGTTTAGCTTTATTTCATATTATTCATACTTTTATTTAATTACAAAGCACGAGATAATACAAAAAAAAATTGCAATTAATACGTAGTTTGGACCCGCCTAGCCAGAGTAGGTTGTTTTAATTGGTTGGCCCATTTTAAGCGAAAGAGAATTGTACACTTTACAGCGAATGAGGGTGTACACCATACAGTGTACATTTTAAACATAACAATGATGATAAATCAAGAAAATGGTAAGGAGGTGGTGTAGAAGTATATGGGAAAGGGAGGGTTGGAACAGATGGTAACATATATTATTAGAATCATGTTTATAAACTACAGGGTGAAGAAGATAGTGAGGACTAAGTTTATCCACATGAAACACAGTTTTTTTTTGCAGATATAACTTGCATAACTATCTAAATAGTTCTTAGCGACTTTTCTTTTAGACAATGTTGCAGATTTAGTTACTTTAAGCTCTAATTCAATTGAATTCCATAATTTTGGAAATAAAGCGGTGAAACATTCTAGAGAATCCTCTCAAGTTTATATGATTTTGTTCTATTTGGTTCAGCTAAAGAATTAAACATATCATGGAAGGAAGCTGGAAGGTTTTCATAAAAGTATTTATGCATAAAAAATAGAACACCTAGTTTTTATGTATCATCAAGATTTAGAAGTTCTAATCTGAAATATATTGTATTTGAATGTGCCTGAAATGAATTATTATTTAGAGCTATAATTGCCCTTTTTCGCAAAGACTTGATTTTCTGTAGTTTAGCATTTTTTACGCCCCCCCCCCTCATGTTATAATTCCATACTCAATATGTGGCCTTGCAATACATTATAAACTAGTAGGCGAATGTTTAATTGTAAAATGTTTTTAATCTGATTCAGAGCAAAAATTTAGAAGCAATCTTCTTGGAAACATGTTCAATTTGATAGTACCAATTTAAGAATTCATCAATTTTGAGTCCAACAAATTTAAAGTATTTATTTGTACAATCAGTTCCTATTCTTTCTAGAATCTCATTTTAGAAAACTAGTTTTGTCAGTAAATGGATTAGTAAAAAAAGATGTTGCTAAAGGCAGATCGTTTATGTATATAAGAAATAGTAGGGGCCAAAGAACACTTCCCTGCGGAACACCACATACATTTGTTTTTTTTCTTTAGAAAAAAATACCATTTATACATACATATTGAGTCCTATTGCATAGGTAGTTTTGAAACCAGGTGTTAGCTACATTTTTATAACCGTAGTACTCAAGTTTTTTAAAGAATATCTAAGTCACAACAATAAAAAGCTTTCTTTAGATCTGAAAATTTGAGTTAGAAGTATAAATATCAGGTTGCAAAGAACTAGACTACAGTGAGAACCAGAAAAATCTGGAATAGGAAGACGACTTTCTGAATCAAGTTATAACTTTAAAAAGTACAATGAGCATGAGACACAGCAATTGTGCAGTGTAAACAGACCAATTTCCTTTAAGTCGTGATATAATAAGTGTCTAGTTAAACTATTTGCTTTGTAACAACATCAAATAAACTTAAGTATTGCTATAATGTCGTCTTCCTGTTCTATTGTTTTCCGGTTATCACTGTAGATAGCTAGAGTTTGAGGAGAGTAATCAGTTCATTTTTCCTATTCTTAAGGGAGGGGATGGGGGGGGGGGTGACCAACACTGCCTTGTAGTTCAAGAGAATATGTTTTGCTAATATTTGAAAAAATGTGATTCAATATTCGGTTTATGTTTATCTATTAGATTTATCTTCAAAAATTCGCTGATTCATGGAAACCTTTATCTCTTAAACTCTGTAAAACTTCCCAAGGTCATGCATTAAATGCATCTCACCCCACATATGCAACATATTCCCCCCCCCCTCCACCTCCTATCCTGAAACATGCATATTGGAATGTATACTAAATTGTAAACATTACAGGCCAAAGATTAAGAGAAAGCTGAATATTTTTGAAATAAGACGATCGCTTATTTGTACCATTTCAAAATAAAAAATGATGCATATGATTGTGTATAGTTATGATACCTTCTGTGCAAATGCGCTGTGGCTAGAGTAGATTGTTTAAAAAAAATATCTATTATATATTTTATATAATATTATCAATTTTTCTTAATCTTTTAAAAGTTGAAAAAAATATCAAGTTTCCTTTTGTTCAGTATTGATACATGTTGATATATGTCTTATGTAAGTATATTTTCTCCTTTCTTTATAACTTGGAACTATTTTTAAAAATGAACTAAACATTTTGTTATCTAAAAAATTTGACTTGCTTGCTTTCATTTAATTTCTTTATTAAATTCTATTTATTAATTTATTTCTGTATTTACTATTTTGTTCACATGCATTACTAACAATTCTTATTTAATTTCATTGTTTTAATGTGAGTGTTATCTTCCTCTTGAACGGACGTTTTTTTAACTCACTTTTTGTGCTTGAACCTCTTAAATATAAATATTTTCGAAACTAACTTATTTTTTAACTCACTTCAACATCATGAACTGTTATTTTTTTAATTGACTTCTTAATAGAAATTTAAACTAACCTATTTTGTGAATGTTGAGTTGGTTGTGAGGGTATACCATGCATGCTCAGTGTTTTCTGTGCTCTATTCAGAGGTTTATCCGCGGTCTGAACCCTCTGCATGGGATAGTTCTGGTTAAGGTTGGAGGAGAGGCTGGGTCCGAGGTTGGTGGAGGAGCTGGAAGACTGCAGGAACCTGGAACTACCAAACCCGGAGTCCTGGATACCTGGATACAATATGATCAGTAATGATTTTATTTGATCTTGAACCGACTTTAAGTATAATGTAAACTGACCCTCCATGCAAAGGTGGCAATGCCCGATTCACATAGTTACCCTTGAAACCTGATCACCTGATCAATAATGTGGAAGATATTGTCATTTATCTAGATTTAAAAGTGCTTTTTCTTCAATGGGTTTAAAATTGAAAAACAATCAGTTTTTTAAAGTTTCAAAAATTGATTTATATTTCATGCTTGATCAGAAAAAGCTTTTAAGGGTAACGATGTTTCAATCTTTGAAATGTCAAAGATTTAGTCCATCAGGTTGCTAAGATATAGGGATTAGAAAATTTGAGTTTGTTGCAAAGACTCAATCTATCTCCTTGGCAGGGTAGGAAGGCCGGTCTTGTTAAATTATAATTTTTTTACACCTTTTTTACCAGTTCCAGAGCAGTCATAATACGTCACAGAAAAATATAAATAAATTTCTGTAGTCTTAATAATTTGGTCCTAACAGTAACGGTAAAATTTAGCAATTTTGCAGACATCTTCACATATTCAGTAAATAAATGCTGGCAGACAGGGGCGTTTACTGTATTTTTTCCCTCCCCATGGGGGTGGGCTAAAAAAAATCCCCTGGAAACCATAGAGTTCCCTTATTATGTGATTCTAATTTTACTTATATCAACTAGTGTTTAGGCTAATTCAAGTAAAATCATTCTGACCAGAAAACATCAAATTTCAAACGATATATCAATGAATGTCTTCTATATACTGGTTATATTGGCCTGAAATATGATGATATTGAAAATTTACAAAATGGCATTTCTAACAGTGCACAATTGATAAAAAATAGTGAAAAAGGTTAATAATGTATATCTTAAAGTATCCAAAAATACCCATTCAGCTGTTCTCTTATAACTTTCTCTCATGCAGAATTGAAAGTGAAAGCAGGGATATTATGTTTTCTTTTACGTCTTTTGTAAGTTCAAGTTCTCATTTTTCAGTTTAGTTTATCCACAAATTACACAGATAAGACAAGCATGGACAGTTGTTGCTTAGGTCGATAACTTGGTTCATAACAACTTATACGAGTACCAGTCTCTGTAAAAAGAAGTCTATTCAGGGTTTTTGAGAAGTGCAAGAAAAAACAAATTAGCCCAAATAAGTGAAATTAAGTAAAAAAGAAGTGAAATTAAATAAAAAGAAGTGAAATTAAATAGAAAGAAGTTAAATTAAGTAAAAAATGAGCACAAATAATTACAAATGAGTATAAATAATTACAAAGAGTACCAAGGAGTACAATAAGTACAAAGAAGTACAATTGAGTAGAAATAAGTACAATTGAGTAGAAATAAGTACAATTTACAAAGAAGTACAAATAAGTGCAAACAAGTAGAAATAAGAAACAATGAGCACAGTCTCACAAGAGTACAAATGAGTACAAAGAATTTCAAAGAAAATACAAATAAGCACAAATAAGTAAAATTGAGTACAAAGAATTTCAATTGAGTACAAAGAAGTACAATTAAGTACAAATTAGTATAATCGAACAAATAAGTGCAAATAAGTATAAATAAGAAGAAATGAGTACAGTTGCAAGTACATATTATTATAAAATATAGAAAATTTATCGACATTAAGCCACAACTGCCTTTCTTGTCCTTTCTCTGTATTTGATGTCAGTTTCCCTGCATTTTTCAGAACATCATTCAACGTTGTTATTTTTACGGGGATATTAAGAACTGAACAAAACGAACAAGGTTAATGATTTATTTTCTATTTCTGTTTTTTTTAGGAAAAACAAAATGTCAGGAACATAGCCCTGGGATTAGCACATTTTTTACATACTTTCAGTGCCAAATCATACTTTATAATCATGATAAAAGTTTAAGGAAGAAAAATATAAAATAAAAATTTTCTGATGTACGGCCATAATTTGCAACTTGTGCAATTTCCTAAATTAAATGTCATCTAATTTTCTAACCGCCGCGCAGCGCTCTGGCCACCTTACTTGAACTTTTAATGGACGGCAGAATTTTTTTTTTCTCTTTCAACCCAATTTGACAAAATGCCCATTTGGAAATTGTCTTTTGGGGAAAAATTCGGTTTGGAAAATGTACATTTGAATTCTTTGAATAAGTGCTCTCTGTCAATAAGTCCATTTAGAATTTAAGAAAAAAAACTTTTAGACTCATTATTCATCAGGATTCTAGAAACAAACCTAATAAACTGGTTCTGCTACCCCTGAGAGCTGAACCTCTGTCCAGCAATGATCCATATTCTCCAGAGGAATAGGTTGAATCCGGTACATCATAGGATGTACTTGAGAACCTAGTTGAGCTCCCGTTCTTCATCTAAAAAGAAAATTTCTTATAGTAACATTTTTTCGACCGCCATTTTGAAAAATGTCGTCATTATAGTACAACTATTTTAAAACCTAATTAGGCATCTTATGATGCATTGTTATTTGAATGGCCACCTACTATTATAAAAACGGCTTTGCGCTGCAACATTGTTAAAAAGCTTTGACATTAAAGCATGGCATTTAGAAAAAAAATTTCAGCCGCCATTTTCTGAAATATTTAAGCCTCGTTAAAGTGCCTCACCTCGTCTTTATTATCCTTTTTCTTGGCATATTTTGAAATAAGATCATCAACTTCTTTCTTCCGTTGAACCTGCCTATCCTCGACAACAGGCTCGTCATAGTTAGTAGCTGGTAGCCGGCTGGTCAAACTTTTCTTATAGACTACAGGACGCCGGGGCGTTGAGCTTTCTGATATCTAGATATTATTACAATTGATTCATGCAAATATCTGAGATGAAAATGATACGATGGTTTATTAAGAGTATCTTTGAACAACCGAGTTTCCTATTTGGGGTCTATATATTTACGTAGATTTTAATTTAAGAAATCAGAAATTCAAAGAAAAGAAACAGCATGAAATATTGTTTTTTTTTTAAATATTGATAACTACAAAACTGCCTGACCCCATTGATGAAACCTGGTTTTACGATACTGGGTTTTATTACATATACTCTGTCTTAAGTTTCAGGCTCTGTTAACACTCAGTGTACACTGTACAATAAGATTTTGATTTAATGCCTTCTTGCACATTTTTATGTAGGTCTATCCTTTAATAGTGTTTTAATCTAATAATTAACAAAGGAAATGAGTCTTTGCCACTAACTCTAATTTTCTTTGCAACTAAATGTCGAAGATCTTAGATATTTTAAACTATGAAATTTTCTATATCAAAGTATCTAAGTTGGAAATATCAAAAGTTTACTATATCAGGTTGCTAAGGTATATAAAATTAGAATATTTCGAGTTTGAGGCAAAGAATCAATTTATAAAAACAAATGTTCTTAGGAATATTTTTTTATACTGACCGGACATTTCCCTAAAGACCAATCATGAAAATATCTTGAACAATTTTGAAATTGTTTCGAATAAACTAAAACTAATCTATTTCAAGATTTTGTGAGTTATGTTAACTCAAGGGTAGAGAATATAGGGGAAATTTAGGAGGGATGTGAGAGAAAAGGTAAGGGAGGGAAGGGGCGTTTAAGGATAAGGATAGTTAAGAAACTGATTTCTTACCACAAACTCTAATTTTCAAATTCCTTTATCTTTTAACTCTGATATCGTATACCTTCGATATTTCAAAATTTGAATTCTGTTGGATCAAATAGTCAAAGTTTGAAATATCAAAGGTCTACGACATCAAGTTGAAAGAATATATGAATCAATAATTTTGTGTTCGGAGCTAGTAATCACTTCCTTTGGAAGGAAAATGAATTGCGACATTCTTTTTTTATGACACATATTCAAAAACTTACTCAAAAATTATAAAAAGTGCAAAGGATGCACTTTAACAGACATTCAACAGTGTAGAAAATTGACCATTTTATGTTTTATACAATTCGTCAATTTTATTTTTTATACAATTCGTCAATTTTATGTTTTATATAATTCGTCAATTTTATGTTTTATACAATTCGTCAATTTTAGGTTTTATACATTCGTCAATTTTATGTTTTATACTATTCGTCAATTTTTTGTTTTATACAATTCGTCAATTTTATGTTTTATACAACTCGTCCATTTTAGGTTTTATACAATTCGTCAATTTTATGTTTTATACAATTCGTCCATTTTAGGTTTTATACAATTCGTCAATTTTATGTTTTATACAATTCGTCAATTTTATGTTTTATACAATTCGTCTATTTTGTCTTTTTAAATTTTTAAGTATTCGAAGGTTCAGGTGTCGGGTTATTGAAAGTTTATCCTTCTTGGCAACAATAAAATAAGCGGAAGTTTCTTATTTCCGGTCATTCAACGGAGGTCAATCTGTCCTCGATGCGCCCTATATATGAATCGGAGGCTGATATTTACGAAGTCAGATAATCGAAATTGATAAATGATAAACCGTGACATCCCTAGCACCCTGTCTTTCCTTATCTGTCATCCCTGCATAACTAGGGTTACTTGATTCGATCAAACTTAGTTAAAATCAGGTTCAAGTATTTAAAAATACTAAATATTTGCAGCGAAAGAAGTTGTTTTTCATGTCAGCTTTTGCAAAACTTTCACGAGGTCTGATTTCTTAGTTTAATTTCTACAGTTATAAACACAGTTGCATCCTATTCACATAAAGTATATATAGTTTAACAGAAGGGATTGAGAAATGTTTACAGACAAGATAAAAAGTTGAAAGATTTATGAAGTAAAAAATATAAAGTTGAGCCGGGGGAACATGATTTTTTATGAGGAGGGGGGGGGGGACGTCAAAAGATGAAGAAAAAAAATAGGAATGCAATAAAATAGAATTTAATATACAGTGAGATTCAGAAAACTGTGGAATAAGTGTATTTGATGTTGTTACAAAGTAAATAGTTTTACAAGCAGGTAATGCAATCACGCATGAAGTAAAATGAGTCTGTTTACACAGCAAAATTACTGTATCTCATGTTCATTGGACTATGTAAGGCCCTAACTTCAGTCTAAAAGACGTTTTACTTTTCCAGAGTTTTCTGGTTCTTGCAGTAGTAAAACCCAAAAATTAAGTAAAGTAAAAATTATGGAATCAACAAAAATTAATAGAGTGAATTGTAATAAAAAATAATGAAGAGAATATCTTTAAATTAATAAAAATTAGGAAGACACGATGGAAAAGCGTGAAAAGAGTTTTTAAAAAAGCTAACCTGTCCCATGGTATTCACATTTCTAAACAGATCTCCGTCTGTTCGTTTCAAACTATCAAAGTTGGAATAACTTCGACTCTTCTGTATAGATGTACTAGATCCTGAACAGATATGCACTTTTTTAATAAATAAACTTTTTTCAAAATATAACTTTTTTATTTTTATATCTATCTATCTAACCTGCATGATCCGGTCCACTGCTGTATTTTGGATATTTTCTGGATATCAATCATTCATTTTATTAGGGGTTAAAATTATATCATGTGTCAAGGATACATACAGAGCTGGGAATTAGTGTAATTGTGCCATAATATTCGAAATGAAGAGATTAAGCATCGATTCTTAAATTAAAAGTACCCATAGTGAATATCGTGATCAAAGGACCGGGATTATGAGTATCCATTACAATAGTTAATAGCTCAGTGCAGAACTAATATCGAGATCAAAGGACCGGGATTATGAGTATCCACTACAATAGGTAACAGCTCAGTGCAGAACTATAAAACTGTGGAAGAAGAAGACGACTGTATGATTTAATTTATGATTTTAAAAGTCCAAACAGCATGAAAATCCCCAAAGGTACAAGGTGTCTCTGAAATAAACATAGTTGTATTGGATAAACAGTGCTCCCAGTAGGTATAAACCATAGAACTAAGGTGGTTGTCGATAAAACACTTGTCTCTATAAAAATGCCGTTTTAACCTTCAAAAGTAGTTTCGAAAATGTGCTCAGTCTCTTTTCCAAAGATTTTCAAAAAAATTTTATTATAATTTTATTTTTACGTTTTATATAACAGAATAGAATATATTGCGTATTTTCACTGTTAGAGTTAAGAATTAGTTAAGAATTTTTAAAAACTAATTACCTAGAACGATGTTTAAATTTTTTTAAATCTTATGAAAATGGTCCGAGTACATTTCGAGTACATTTTTAAGGATAAAACATCATTTTAGAGCAAAATCTATGGACATATTGTACCTGCTGGTCACACATTGTATGTAAGATAAAACGACGTTTAGTGGAAGAAAAACATTTAATATTTTCGGAAATGAGACCGAGCACATTTACGAATATTAGGTCTAATTTTGAAGGTTAAAACGACAGTCTGGTAAAACTGTAGGGGCTATTTAGGGTATATGTAGAAGAATATATCCTGTGTAGGGGGTATATAGGAGAATATTTCCTGTGCAGGGGGTATATAGGAGAATATATTCTGTGTAGGGGGTATATAGGAGATTTTATCCTGTGTAGGGGGTATATAGGAGAATGTATCCTGTGTAGGGGGTATATATAGGAGAATATATCCTATGCAGGGGGTATATAGGAGAATATGTCCTGTGTAGGGGGTATATAGGAGAATATCCTGTGTAGGGGGTATATAGGAGAATATGTCCTGTGTAGGGGGTATATAGGAGATTATGTCCTGTGTAGGGGGTATATAGGAGAATATCCTGTGTAGGGGGTATATAGGAGAATATATCCTGTGTAGGGGGTATATAGGAGAATATGTCTTGTGTAGGGGGTATATAGGAGAATATATCTTGTGTAGGCAGTATATAGGAGAATATATCCTGTGTAGGGGGTATATATAGGAGAATATATCCTTTGAAGGGATATATATGAGAATATATCCTGAATTTATCCTAAAACCTGGCCCTGAGCCAGTGCAGGAGACACGCTGCAAACCTCATATACATCTTGTCCCATAGAGACCCCCATCTTCCTTCCTTTTCTTACCCCTCATTCTTTCTATTCCCCCCCCTACACCTCCCCCTTTCTTCTTCCCACATCAATGATGTCCTTCTGACCAAAATTGAAATATACTTACTATGTTTGTTTATGAGATTGAACTATTTTGTTTTTAATTCGATCAAAACCCGCAGCTCAGGTTTTCTTTCGTATTTTATCCTTAACTTCCCTGTCTCCCCCCTCCCTTGCCCCCCCCCCTTCTCAATACAGTTATTCTCAAATTATCCCCATTCATTGAAAAAAAATAACAATTATCTCATATGTAACTGAATCTTGGACCCAGATCAACTAACCCAAATGACCCAAATTTTTTTGTTGAAACTAAGCTAACAACTTATTTGCAAGATTTTAGCATATTTAAACAAGACGGGGCGAGAAAGCCTGTTTTGACCCTCTTCACATTGTTTATTTTTCATGTTGAATGCCAAATATTTGATTGACAAATCTTAATTCAATATTTGAAGTCAAACTCTATGTATAGTTTGACGTGCGAAGACTGACCAAATCACAGATTTCTCTGATGGTAATACAATTTACAAATGTATCATTTTTACTTTTTTTCTGTGATTTTTCTACATAATATCACATTACATATTTGATTTGTTCTTAGTCTTACTTTTGTATCTAACTCTACACATGTTGACTTAGAATTATGTAACAGGTAGAAAACCCTTTTTGTTTGTTTGAGGTCAAATAAATTTCGTGAATAATAAAATAAATGATTGCCTAAGAACGGAGTTGATTCTATCTTCATAAGTCGGAACTTTATACTGATCCTGGATCCCATCTGCAACCCTAGTACTGGAGTAGGTACCTGGAGTAGTACTGGAGTAGGTACCCGGAGTATAGGACTCACTACCCTTCCTTTCCGAGTATAGCGAGTAGTCAGGTTTGGTATAGGATTCCCCTCTGTAGGATACATCTGGTTTCGAGTAGGATAGATCCGTTCTGGAGTAGGATAACTCTGGTTTGCTGTAGGAGAGGTCGGTTTTAGTATAAGAACTCTCCGGTTTGGAATAAGAACTCTCCGGTTTGGAATAAGAACTCTCTGGTTTGGAATAACTATCTTCATTATACTCCGGTCTGGAGTAACTACTCAGATCAGTTTTAGAATAAGAATTTGTCAGATTATACGAGGACTCAGGTCTGGAGAAGCTTGAGTCTGGTTTAGAATAACTTGTCTCGGGTTTAGAGTAGGCTGAACTGATCGGATCAGGTCGCGGGTAAGAGGTTGGATAGGATTGAACTGCTTTTCTTGCATCAGTATTGTAACTGCTATCTCTATAACTAATAAAGATAAAACTTTAAAAAATGTAATTCTCAGTTTTCCTAGAGAATTAAGTTTTTGCCGCAAGCAGCTCAAGTTTTCTATTTTCTATATCATTGCAATCTGATGATTAAAGTCTTTCATATTTCAAACTTAGATCATTTGATCTAACAGAATTCATAGTTTGAAATTTGAGAAATCTATGACATCATGTTTCAAACATAAAGGGATTAGGTAATCGAATTTGTGGCAAAGGCTCAATAAAGATATATCTATGTATAAAAGGTAGTAATTTCTTTTCTGTCTGTTTGTTTGAATCTCCAATCATAACTCAGGAACTCCTTGACCGATATGCATTACATTTTAATTGGGGAATTTGGTGGAACCACAGGAACATTCTTAGCTAGGTTTAAAAATTCTAGGTTGAGTTGGATGACCTTAATAGGGAAAACTACTGGCAAAGCTGGTTTTCATTCTAGCACCTTATAAGATTGTATCTGTGCAATTTGATGTCACAGACATGAATTCTGTTAGATCAAAAAGTTTAAAATATCAAAGGTTTACACCATCAGGTTGCAAAGATATAGGAATTATAACATTAGAGTTTGTGCCAAGTGTTGAGTTCCTATACCTGAATGAAGATGTGGTTGGGACAGTATAATTGGTACTGGCTGGTTTGCTGACTAGGTAACTGTATTTAGGCTGGCGTGTTGTGACCGGAAGGCGAGATTCAAGACCCCGGTCAACCTTCAACTCTGGTGGATAAGCAGGTTCCGGCTACAGATAGAATATATTCATAAATAAATCTTTAAATGTTAAAGCGAAGACGATCTTAATACGTTTTATAATGCCGCAATAAATTCATAAATAATCCTTTAAACAGTGAAGCGAAGACGAGCTGCAATAAATTCAGTCAATGTATCTCCAAGTTGTTGTTTCAAAGTTTTAAAGTCAAAACACCTTTTGTACAAATTGACTAAAATTTGTTATCCTTTCTATGATTTTAGAAAACCTAATTTTCGATGATTTTAGTAAAACCTAACATTTTTTGGGCAATAGAAACATGTGGAAACTACAAATTGTTTGATTATAGTTTGATGAAGATTGGAAAAATTATTAAATTAAATACATGTATCAATAAATTTGTTTTATAAAAAATCTGATAAAAAATAAAAAAATAAATTGTTAAAAAAGTTTGATGAATTCCTCCGACATAAAATTGATTCCACTTAACATATTTGTAAGTTTTCTTTTCTCAATGACGCAGGTCATAAAAGTTTAAGTTTCAGATTTTAAATTCAGGTTTAGTTAAAGAAAGCTGAAGACGCAAGAAAAACATGAAATAAACCCCAAAATATTGATGTTGCAAAAAGGCCTAAGAGTTCTTCATCTGAAAAATTAGAGCAGTTAAATTTACAAATACGTTAAAAAAATTTGTTTTTCCTGTTTTACTAGATTAATTAATTTTTCGACATTAATTGAATATGCAGCAAATGTATGAGTGTTATTTTAGATTTTAGTATTTCTTTTCCTTTGTATTAATAATTTTTCTTTTTGTGTTCTTGTTCTTTTTGATTTGTTCTTCTTTTTTTCGTGTTTTTAAATTAGAAGTTTATGAAACACAATTCTAAAAAAGTATTTAAAATTTCTCTTTTGATGATATTAATGATAAATTCCGATTAAGAAAATGTTTTATCGGATTAAAATTTACGTGATGAACTAAGCTTTAAAAACTGTCTAAATATAATTTATTTGAAAATTTGTTTTCCAGTTTAATATCTTAAATATCTTAAAGTTTCACCGTATGACAGTGTTTTTAGGATTACAGACAGTATTTTGTAACATGATTTTTTTTTATCAGTACTTGCAGTAGATGTAAAGAATTTATAGTTTAACTAACATGATTGTCTTTACATCTACTCCACAGCAAAAATTGCATAAATAAACGTCAAAACTGAAGTAAATTCCACGTGAATTTGAAATCTTATATGTGTTCAAACATAACTCATTGTAGAGTTATTGAGAAGAACACAGATGTTTTGGTTTTATAATAATTAACCAAAGAAGTGACAAAGGCGTACTAGTGATGTAGTTTAAAATTTACTTTCTAATTCTGTCTAGATTCCAGAATCGTAAATGTTGGAATCAATGATTTTTATCAATATTTAAATCAACAGTGTTAGCAGTGATGATTTAGATAACAAATTTAATTTCAATTTTTTAAGTTATATTCAAGTAATCATTATTAGCATCAATGATTTGTTCAATATTGAAATCATCAATACTATAGCAATGATGATTAAAAATTTTATTTCACCTTCATTGTTATTAATAATATGCAATGATCTCATCAAACAATCATTTTTAGTTTAAAATGAATATATTTCTTTCCTTAGATCGACCGAGTAGGAATTCCTTAAAGGTGGAACTATTTAAATCCTTGAAGGAAGTACTGTTGGGAGATCTTCCTACCCGAGCAGTTCCATTTATCACCGCCAGGTTCTCTCTGGACGGTTTAGCTCCAAACTTGTCAAGAATACTAGAGCAGGAACGGAAAAGATCTGAGTTTTCTCCGCCAAGGTTTAGGGATGTGTTTGCTCTTCGGTAGGTCTGTCTCTGGGGTCGACCTAAAGCAGTCAATGTGAAAGAGGTTGTATGCAAAATTTGTTATGGCACAACACACAATAAGTGAGATAAATGATTTTTAACAAAGGAATTGAGTCTCTGCCACAAACTCTGATTTTCTAACCCCTATATCTTTTCAACCTAATGTCCTATACGTTTGATATTTCAAACTATAAATTCTGTTAAATAAAATAATATAAGTTTGAAATATCAAAGGTTTATACCATCAAGTTGCTTAGATATAGGTTTTAGATAACTTGAGTTTGTGGCAAAAACTCAATTCCTTTTATGCACAATTAAGTTGAATTTGTGTATTTTTGCTTTTGTTTTCATTTTTAATATTGGAAAATTAGTATGGTAAGGATTTGAGTGTTTGTCACAAACTCAAATTTTCTAATCCTTATATCTTTGAAACTTGATAGGGTAAAACTTTGATATTTCAACTTATTATTTTTTGATCTAAGAGAATTCATAGTTTAAAATATCTAAGGTTTACGACATTTTGTTGAAAAGATAAAGGGACTAGAATATCAGACGTTGTGGCAAGGACTCAATTCCGTTCAGCTGAATTCATTTAAATGTATCTCTATCACAGTTTTTAAATAAAGTACGTTTTGACATCCTTTAAGGCAATTCACAGAATAAAAACTTTGTTGACACTTTCCTTTGTAGAGATATCAGTTAATTTATAAAAATAAGTATTTTATAGACACATCGTAGAAAATAATGCATTTTTGAAGCACCATCTAAAAAGACTATGTTTGTTAACGAAAAGTAATGTTTATGTACCCCACGGTAGGGTACGGTGGGGGGGGGTGAGAGATTTGTATGTATCGTCCATATCTGTATCTTATCTGTCTATTATTAAGCTTTACAATTAAGAATCAAAAGCATCAATCAAAAATGCATCTTTAAATTTTAAATTTCTTAATTCATTGAATATAATTTGTTTGGTCTAGGCCTGATAGAGAAAATTCTACAGTTAGATGAGTCTGATAAACTGTGAATAAACTGAACAAAAAGTGTAAATAAATCAGGAATATTTCAACCTAATCTATTGAGAGGGTTTCAATAGTTGAAACTAGCGGAGAAAAACTGGAGATAAAACCCTGGATAAAAACCAGTAGAAAATAACTGTTTATGTATCATCCTCCATTCAGATGTGATTCTGAATCATGACAATGATCAAATATTTTGTAAAATTAAACTTCTTATACAAATATAAATATCAATTTGGCATAACAGTTTGAGGTTTGATGAGTATTCAATGATAGAGCAAAATTTCTGTTTAAATACTACATCCCCCCCACTAATCCCCCCACCCCCCTATATTCATTTTGCTTTCTCCCCCCCCCCTGGAAAGCCTGTTGAGAAAAGAGTGTACAAAAGCTTGGAACTATTTAGTTTGTATTTTAAACAAAAACTTTCAGCCGATATCTTTCAACAATCCAATATTCAAATACTTGTTCATACTTTTTCAAAATTTATTAAGACAACCCTTTTATCAACATTTATAACATTTAAGCTAATAATAAAAATATACATTTTTCTTAATAAATGAACACAAACCTTGAAATAAAGGAATTAAGTCTTTGCCACAAACTCAAATATTCAATTTTCTATATCTTTGCAGATTACAGAATTCATGGTTTGAAATATCTAAGAACTACGACATCAAGTCACAAAGATACGGGGATATAAAAATCAGAGTTTGTGGCAAAGACTCAATTCCTTTGTAGCAAGAGCAAACAAACTTGGTCGTAAAAATCATAAGGTTTTTCGAACTAATTTTTTGGGGATTTAAAAAATACCATGTCTTCTTAAAATTCATAAACATATCATCATATAGTCAAGGTTTTACGAACATTTTTGTTTTGTTGTATAAGAAATCAGCATTAGAAACNATCATCTTGCTCAAAAATTTCTTTGAATGAAAATACCCAAAAAGGTCAAATCCTAAAAAAGTCAAATATCTTTAATGCAACAGAGGGAAACCATGATTGAAGAAAATGATCTATTTAATTTTTATTTGATTCTGATTTTCATGTTTGGACGCAGACCATCCGGGAAATCAATTAGAGAAATTTGGATTGCCGCAAATTCCAGATCTGAATAGAGACTTGATTTCAGAGTTTACTCCAAAACTTGATCCTGCTGTGATAGGAATGAGGAAACCAGGTTTCCACTCCGGGTCCAGGAACCCACAGGTTGAAGACGGGACGGATAAGGATCTTGAGTGAAAATAAAAATTGACCCAAATGATTTTTCTTTTCAACAAACTTCGGCATGAATGAATGAACTTTAGATACATGAATTGATCAAGGACGTGTGTGCGGAGATTAAAGAAAAAAGAAGATGAGAGATAAAAAGAATAAAAATTAAAGAATTTTAGTGAAGTTGGAGAGAATTAAATAAAAGGAAAACTAGAGAAGAACTAGAAGAGATCTTGTGGAGAACTAGAGGAGAACTAGAAGAGAAATAGAAGAGAACTAGAAGAGAACTAGAGGAGAACTAGAAGAGAACTAGAAGAGAACTAGAAGAGAACTACAAGAGAACTAGAAGAGAACTAGAAGAGAACTAGAAGAGTACTTGAGGAGAAGTAGAAGAGAACAAAAAGAGAACAAAAGTTATCTTGAAAAAGAAGAAGAAAGAATTAACGAAGAATAAGAAGATTAGTAAAGAGAATAGAATCCAATAGAAAAAAAGAAGAAAGCATCAGCGAAGAATTAGTAGATTAGTAGAGATAATAGAATCCAATAGAAAAAAAGAAGAAAGCATCAAAGAAGAATTAGTAGATTAGTAGAGACAAATTAAATCCAAAAAAAAAGTCTTTCCAAACAATACTTTAACTATAATGTAGTTATATTTAAATAGAAAAAGAGATAAATTTAATGGAAGAAAGAAAAAAGTTTGAATATAAACCCAAGATTCTAAGATAGCCTACTATTTAACATACATAGCTTTGTTCAAATAAAAAAAAGTAAGCAAGAAAAAATCTTTAAAGTTGAATATGGTTCTCTGAAAAATCCAGATAAAATGGACAAAATGAATATTAACTACCTGGTTGAATAAGACTTGATGTTCCTGAAGCCATGTTGTCAAGTATCCTTGTACTCTAACCTGGACCTGGAGTCAACTTAAACCTTAACCTTGACTCACTTCTCCACCTCTCACTCACTCACTTGGTTCCAGTTTCTCCTCACTGAGACGGATGGATGGAAATCCATGTCTAGAAGAACGGATAGCTCATGGTCCTGGATGATCCAGTGGTGTAAAATATCTCATTTTTGAACTGATGTGTGTGTGTCTAGGATAATCCTGAGTTCTAAAGACAGGATAGGCTGGCCGGCACGGAGACTTGCCAAGTCCTGCTCACTCAGGCCTCTACAGGGGGAAATATTGACAAACTTCAACAAATAATATTTTCCGACATAATTTTAAAAAATCTGAAGTTTTGAACAGTCTAAAACAGTCTATCTTCATAACTAAAAAGTATATATTTTTGATTAAACAAACTTGTTATTATAGAATTTAGGAAATAATAAAAATGTTATCTAAAATTTTCAAAAATAAAATTTCTTTATTTGAAGAAAACGTGAGTGTTAAGAAATGGATGAATATATGAGAAAGCATTGATCAGGACGTATTCTACCCTGCCTCCGGTCAGTCCAAGTCATACCCAGAGCAGTAGGATCATCCGTCCCAACCCCAGGATTTCACTCTCCTTCATCTCCCCTCCTCCTCGTCCTCCTTCTTCTCCATCTCCTCCTCCCTCCCCTCTTTATCTTCATTCTTTTGCTTCTGCTCCTTCCCTCTCCTTTCTCATCCTCAATCTTCTCCTTTTACTCCTCCTCCTTCTCCTCCACTTTCTCTTTCTTTTCCTTGTTCTTCTGCTCTCTCTCCTTATGTTTCTCCTCATTCTTCGGCTCCTCCTCCTTTTACTCTTTATAAAACTTCTCCTTTCCCTCCTCATCTTTCCCCTCCACTTCCTTCCTTTACTTCTCCTTTCCCTTCTCCTACTCCTTCTCTTTCCCCATCTCCTCCTCATTCCCTCAACCCTCCTCCTCCTTCTCCTTTCCCTCTTTATCTTCCTGTTCTCATTCTCTTTCACCTTCTTCTCCCTTCTTCTTTTTGCGTCTCCTATTTCCTTCCCTTCTTTTCCTTCACCTCATCTTTCTCCTCCCCGTCCCTTCTCACTCATTCTACTCCTCCAACTTCTAATTTTGTTTCTCCTGCTACTCTATCTATCTATCTATCTATCTATCTATCAATAGACCATGCAATAGATTATATATATTTAGAGTTGAATAATTGAATATATATATCTGTGTAATGTAAAGGTATAATAATCAGCATGAACCCTGATTTCCAATGAATTATGATAAATTATCCGTCCCAACCTTCTCCTACCTTCTCCATATATCCACGGATACAATCCACCTGTTCTATGTTCTATGTTCTATGTTCTATGTTCTATGTTCTATGTTCTATGTTCTATGTTCTATATTCTTTATTCTATGTTCTATGTTCTATGTTCTATTTTCTATGTTCTAAGTTCTATGTTCTATGTTTTCATCAATGAATTTCATGTACTTTGTATTATGGATTCTATGACCCCACATTGAGAAACCACAGAAGTTAATAATTGATGTTATCGAACGAGCAGCATATATATTTACTCTCAAATACTTTATTACAAATTCATTTAGTTTTTCTTTACAAATAACAAGTTTTACAAATAACAGGTTTTACAAATATTTCAAAATCAAACATTGTTTACTTTTGAGTTTGAAAGTAAAAAACCAAAAAAACATTTTTTTTCAAAAAAGTAAGGGAGAAAACCAGTTTTTTATATCCTTAAATTGAAACTGAAAATTATAAAACCTCAAAAAGCATAAATAATTGAAAAGATTAAAAATTCATAAGCAATTTAGAAACTATAAATAAGTTATCAATTGTTTCAATCAGATTTTTTGTAAAATTGTAGCTTCTAATCCAGAAAATATTTTTATCTTCGATATATAAAATGATTGGTAGTAATCTATTATAAGTTTATCCTCCTATTCTATTCTCTCATTAGTCTGCTCTAGCCTCTAGCTGGATACAAAGAGACCGATTAAACTTCGAACCAGCCAAACCAACGGACAACAGATATTAAAAACTTCAAAGCCAGGAAAAGGGTTGTAGTAAAAACCTAATCATAACTGTTGCATCCCAAGGGGTGTTTCAAAAATATAGACCACATAGGTTACATATTGGATTTTTGACCTTTGTTAATAATGTTAATGATGTTTTTTTTAACATCTCGAATTTTTAAAGATATGATTTAAAGTTTTTCTTGTTTAAAGATGGTAACGTTTAGAATGACGAAACTAATCAAGATCGGCTTAAAGGAGTTGAACTCAAGTCTACTTCTGCTTTGATCTTCACAAAATCAAATGTCTATATAAAATACACAAGACAAATATCGGTGGGCTTGAGAAACTGTTTTAAAGGATGACACGACAAAGGCATGAAACCGACTCAATAACAATAAAATATTTCTTTGCTCTTATCAGATTCATTTCTTTCAATCGTTAAGAGAAATTTCAAACAATTTCTTATCAGATCTGTTTTTTATTCGATAATTCAACTTTTCTTTTATTCCTTCTTTCTTTTTTTCTTTCCATCTTTCTTTCGTTGCCATCTTGTAATTTTTTCTTTTTTCTTGTATTTTTCACGTTATTTCATCTTCTCTATCTTCTTGACTTTATCCTCTTGTCTTTATCTTCTTGTCTTTATCATCTTGTCTTTATCATCTTGTGTTTATCCTCTTGTCTTTATCTTCTTGGCTTTATCCTCTTGTCTTTATCTTCTTGACTTTCTCCTCTTGTCTTAATCTTTTCGACTTTATCCTCTTGTCTTCATATTCTTGTTTTTATCCTCTTGTCCTTATATTCTTGACTTTATCCTCTTGTCTTCATATTTTTGTCTCATCTTCTTGTCTTTATCCTCTTGCTTTCATCCTCTTGTCTTCATATTTTTGTCTCATCTTCTTGTCTTTATCCTCTTGCTTTCATCCTCTTGTGCATATCTTCATGACTTTAGCCTCTTGTGCTTATCTTCGTATCTTCTGTAAACATGTACGCCCGTATATCTGATGGTACATTGTACCTAATTTAATGTTAGATTTTATTTAACCTGAGCTGGGACCTTTTGAATGCTGGATATCGGGATTAATGCTTGATCTCCTCTATTTCTTTATCTCCAGATTAAATAATGCTTGTTCTTAATCTCCAGATTAATAAACCCAAGGTTATAATGCAAGGAAAGTTATTCAGAGGTGTACGCATCTTTTGTACTGCAGTGTACTGTCGCTGGACGGTAATGTAAACTTAAGACGGATGTCGAAGCCTGACATGGGATCCATCTTTCACATAAAAAATCAATAAGATATTCTGGTCATAGGAAACTATTATGTGAATTATCAAAATTATCAAATTTTAATGCTTTTAACCTCCTCGGATACTAAACAAACACTGATGCATCTATTCTTGTTTACAAATTCCGCCCAGAGAGAACTGGTTTCAATATGTGCGCAGAGTATACGCAACTGCAATTAACTTTCCTTGCATTATTACCTTGGATTAACCGATCTGGATTAAGGATATCACAGTCTAAGGTTTTCACCTCTGAGATGAAAAGTCCAGAACGGTGTCTTGTTATTAATCTTCCGATTAATTAACCGATCTGGATTAAGGATATCCCAGTCTAAGGATTTCACCTCTGAGATGAAAACTTTAGAATGGTGGTTATTGAGACCAATGCTTGATCTCCTCTTTTTCTTAATCTCCAGATTAAATAAGGCTTGTTCTCCTCTTGTTATTAATCTCCAGATCGGGATTAAGGATATCCCATTTTAAAGTTTTCAGCTCTGGTTTACAGTTGGGAATTATATAGGGGATTACAAAATTGGATTTCTCTTTTTTTTATACAGTTTGGAATTTTAGTTATGTTAGAGAACATGAAATTAAAAATTATCTTTTTTTGTACACTGGTTTACAGCTGGAAATTCTCGTTAATATTACAAAATTGGAATTACCTTAGAATTCTAGTTGTTGTTTTTTTGAAACGGTCGGGAATTTTGGGTAGGTTTGGGAATGCAAAATTGGAATTATCATCATGCTGTTTTACCCTGGTTTACAGCTGGAAGTTTGCATATATGAAGGTTTGAAAATACAAAGTTATTGTTCAATAGATACAATCATACATTTGGGATAGTTTAAGTAGGATTATAAATAATTAGAAATTATGATTACAGGGGAGATAAGAAGGATGAGAAGAGAGGAATGAAAATGAGATGCAAGGATAAAAATGCGAAGGTAAGATTGTGAATAAAAAAAAAGAAGGAAAGATTTGGAATGAACATGTGAAGAGAAGAATAAGAATGAAAATGAGTAAAGAAGGATGAGGATGAAAATGAGAAGGGAAGGATGAGAATGAAAATGAGAAGGGAAGGATGAGAATGAAAATGAGAAGAAAAGAATTAGAATGAAAATGAGAAGAATGGGAATGAAAATGAGAAGGGAAGATTGGGAATGAAAATGAGAAGGGAAGATTGGGAATGAAAATGAGAAGGCAAGGATGAGAACAAAATGAGAAGGGAAGAATGAGAATAAAAGTGAGTTGAGAAGAATTAGAATGAAAATGAGTAGAGAAGAATGGGAAGGAAAATAAGAAGGGAAGAATGAAAATAAAAATGAGAAGGGAAGAATGGGAATAAAAATGAGAAGAGAAGAATGGGAATGAAAATGAGAAGGGAAGAATGGGAATGAAAATGAGAAGGGAAGAATTAGAATGAAAATGAGTAGAGAAGTATTAGAATGAAAATGAGAAGGGAAGAATGGGAATGAAAATGAGAAGGAAAGGATGAAAATGAAAATGGGAAGGCAAGGATGAAAATGAAAATGAGTAGAGAAGAACTAGAATGAGTAGAGAAGAATTAGAATGAAAATGAGTAAAGAAGGATGAGGATGAAATTGAGTAGAGAAGGATGAGGATGAAATTGAGTAGATAAGGATGAGGATGAAATTGAGTAGAGAAGGATGATGATGAAATTGAGTAGAGAAGGATGAGGATGAAAATGAGAAGGGAAGAATGAGAATGAAAATGAGAAGGGAAGGATGAGAATGAAAATGAGAAGATTGGGAATGAAAATGAGAAGGGAAGATTGGGAATGAAAATGAGAAGGCAAGGATGAGAACAAAATAAGAAGGGAAGAATGGAAATAAAAATGAGAAGGGAAGATTGGGAATGAAAATGAGAAGGCAAGGATGAGAACAAAATGAGAAGGGAAGAACGGGAAT